ACTGGAAGTAAGTATCACTAGCTAGAAGTCAAATTACAAGTAAGTTTCAGGCTCATGTCAAGCTAGAAGTCAAATTACAAGTAAGTTTCAGGCTCATGTCAAGCTAGAAGTCAAAAATTACAAGTAAGTTTCAGGCTCATGTCAAGCTAGAAGTCAAATTACAAGTAAGTTTCAGGCTCATGTTAAGCTAGAAGTAAGTTTCAGGCTCATGTCAAACTGGAAATAAGTTTCAGACACATATCAAACTAGATTTAAGTTTGTTGATTTTTAGTTCTTGATATTATATAGCAGTTTAGTTGATGAATTTTAATTTGAAAGTAAATTACTTACCAGTGAAGAAAGAAGGTAGTTACATTTGTGTCGTTTGAAAGAGATTCTGGTGTTCAAAATTCAAATTTAAAAAAAAAAATATGAAGTTCTTTTAATATTGTTGTTTAACAGGAGAAAGAATATTAGTGTGACATATAACCAAAGTCATATAATACATTAACATAAAGAAATACATATAAATACATATATAAAAAAGAAAAAAGGGATACACAAACATTTGATTTTAAAGTGTGGTTTTTTGCTCTACGGCCGTAAAAACCCACATGTGTAAAGTTAAGTTACTCGTCTAAATAGTACAAGTAATTATCTAGTGCTTCCAAGTTCATTTTCTATATTTTTTTGTAGTCCCACTTTAAAACCATACTATAAACTAGGTTTACTGTTTTTTTGGCTTGAGTAATGTTTGACGTATTATGTTCGTTCCTCGAGTTGTCTGTTTATTTTTGTTTGTAGGTGGTGTTTTTCATGTACCTGTGGAGCATTGAGATCGATGCCGTTCTTGTTACAATGTCCTGCTTTGTACTCTTGTGTGAGGAGACCGACATCCGTAGAGGTCAGGATGACTTATCTGTTACTTACCTCTTACCAAACTACTGTGTTTACCAAGAACTGGCTGCGGCGAGCACTGTTCTCACAACGGGTAAGTCACATGATCGGCAACAGGTATCACGCACATATCTTCCAGCGAGTTCTTATTGATCAACAAATTGAATTAGAATTTTTCTCAGTTATGTAAATTTCCTGTTTCTGAGCTACTGCGTTTGAACATTTAATGTATTCGACTCTTTCGCACGATGCTTCTGTAACCTGAGATTTCAAACAACCGAACTTAAAAACTAGTCAGACAAATCTTTTAATCGTAATATGAACAGAGGAATGGTTTTAGGGCTTTAGACAATAGAAGTTGATGTTATGAATGATGAGACTCTTCAGTAGTTGAAGATGCATTAGCTTTTAAATAATCTTAGTTTAATCACTGTATTTGAAATTTGCCCACCCCCCCAAAAAAAATTTTTTTT